CATCAGTGGTAGAAATATAGTAGTGGATAATAACAGGCACTTGTCACTACAGTGTTATTTTAGATGTAGGTGATTTTGGAATTCCTTCCCTTCTCCAAAGTCATCCTCCTGTCCTCACTCTGCTGATGCTCCTGCTGCTCTGCTTTTCTGGTGTCCCTTCTTTTTTGTTTCTTACTCCTACCCACCCCTTGTGTGCATGTACACGACAAGCTGCCCTCCCTGCTCACCTCATCCAACGTGATTTGGCTCAGCATGTGTCCTGGAAAAGAAAAGAATATTGCAAGTCAGTTGTGGAGGTGAGTCGCCACCCAGATTCTTGAAGAAGAACACGGAATTTGGTGTGAACGAACTTGAAAAAACAGAGGCCTCCTGCTACTCTAAACGTGGTTCTAAACCTGGAAACATGTTGTCTTCCCTGGGAAATGAAGACACATTGTGTAAAAGCATGGTTGAAGCCAGGGAGAGTGGGAATATGGGTGAAGAAAATGCTGCATAAATTCTTGCCGGCATTTCTAAGCCAAGTTGGTACTTGCAGTTGATCATAAGCAGGGGCAAAAGTGGCAAAAGGAAAGAATGAGAGAAAAGAATCCAAACAAGGATGCAAAAACAAGGATTTCCAAATGCAGTAGTGATGATGGTGTGCAAGATCCCAAGGACCAGAGTGTGGCGTTTATATTTCAATATGACTTTTCCTAGCCATTGTCTGACTTTGCTATGTGGATGGGTGGGAATATGCAAATGATGCATATTAGCCTATCCACAAGGGGATTGGCTATCTACCATTCATAAGGGGATTAGCTAGTCTCACTACTGAATTAAGCAAGCCAGCAGCAAGAGGCAGTCAGATCTTCTGGTGCCATCAAACAAGAAGCAAGAGAATGTAGATTGCCCTTCCTACTCCAGCTACACTTACAGAAGCAATACCTATGGCTGAACTGGAGACCTGACATGAGATGAGACCTTGAGGGGAAGCCAATATTGTCAGGACTGAGAACTTTGCTGGAAAACTGAGAATGGGAAGCTAATATTGGCTGGACTAAAAACTTAGGAACCCTGGCCCAAAGCCACAAGGCTTATGGCTGAGGTGCCTGCATGCACTTTTCGGGAACTGTCTAGACTGTGTTCTGCAACTGACCTGGAGTATCCTCCTTTAACTTCCCTAACATGGTTCTGTGTGGTCTGTGAGCTATCACATCAGATTTTGAACCCAGAAAAGCAGTAAGACTGGTGATGAGTAGAAAGAGGTATGGGAACATAGGGGACATTTCAGACCTCATGGGAATTAGTTTTGTGTTATTGATGCTATTGACAGGGACAGTTCCCCTTTGTGAAGTTCATAAAGATCAGGCATGGTCATTCCCACATAGTCCTTGCTCTTTGTACACCGGGCTAACCTGGGATGCAGAGAAAAGTGAGATTAGCCTTCTGGGGGGCCAAGTTTGTCTTGTTCCAACTGAAATGGATATGCTAAGGAAAGGATGAAGAGATTCTACATAGAGTAAGAATTGGCAGATCTATATTTTACTCCCACTGGTGGCCCTAGAGATCTAGTCTGTAGTAACTTATAATACTAATCCAAAGGTGGCTCCTCTCTGTAGTTCAAGTCCATCAGGGCTCCTCAGGAAACAAAGATGGGCAATTTCCTCCCAAGCAATTTACAGCCTCCAAAAGTACACTAGAGCTGTGAGTCGGTTCTGTCTCCATAGCAATGAAGATGAGAAGGATGAGATTTGACTCCACTTGCCTTGTAGTGTTCTTATCAAGTAGTGTTCTTATCAATTAGTGCTCCTCGAGCTCCTTTCTCCAAGGCAGGACTGTATCTTGCCTGTCAAAACTCAGCTTTGTGTCAAAGTCATCATATACCATGGTCACTTCTGACACTCCCTCCTCTGTTGTTATTGCCAGATATAATGGAGTACATTCAGTAAAACATGCATTTTGGATTAACAATAAGTAACATTTTAGTGAAAATGCATCTCAAATATTGCATGGCAATACTTAAACTAAAAAAAACCCCAAACCCTATCAGTTGCTATGGAGTGGATTCCAACTCATGGAATGTCAGAGCAGAAGTGTGATCCATAAGGTTGAGATTTTGTTTTGTTTTATTTTAATTGTGCTTGGAATAAAAGTTTACAATGCAAATTTGTTTCCCATCTAACTGTTTATATGAATTCATTTTATAATGTTAATTAAAATGCCTGCAATGTCATTTCCCTATTCCTTCCCCCTCTCCTTAACTCTCATTTTCATTGATCATTCGATTCTCTCCCTTCCCTTTCTGGGAAGAATCCAACCTCCAATACACGATAGTGAAGCTGACACAGATATGTGTGAACTGGAAAGAAAGATGCCTTTTCCTTATTGGCTCACCCATAAGAGTGCCTGTTTCTAATTGGCTCATCCAGGGCCTGTTGAAAAGTAGCCTTCCCACAGGAACACCTGTTTTAAGAGTCAAGTTGGTTATTGCCATCCACTAGGAACCAACTCATAGCTGAACCTTCCTTGGGTTTCTGAGACTAAATCATTCAGGAGATTGCTCATCTTACATAGCTCCTGGTGGCTTCCAGCTGCCAGAAAGACTCAGTACAATCCTTTACAGACTGTATCACCAGGGCTCCCTGTTTTAAGAGCCTCCTTTATATACATTTTTTTTCTGTCAGAGGTGGCACATTCTCTAAATGCCAGGTCCCTGTCACTTAACCTCCACAGTGACTTGGCATTGTGCAAACACATTGTGGGTATTGTGATTAATGCTATGAACCAAAATGTGTATGAATGGTTGGATGAAAAACCAAGCTCTGTAAACTTTCATTCATACAACAATTCACAACACAATTAAAAAAAAATGCCTTATTGGGGCAGCAGCTCCTGGAGGAATAGGAGCTGGAGGAACAGGTAGGAGCTGTGTGAGAGGAAGCAAAGAAGTGAATGAGTACCCCAACACATCCTGCTGTTCCAGTTTGCCAGCTGGATGAAACTCTGTCCCAGGACATCCTCCCTCTACTTCACCTACCTGTATCCCCGCTTCAGGGTCCGGGTGTGGGGGAAATAATAAACAACAGGAAAGCTGTTTTCTCTTTACAAAGCAAAACCAAACCAATACAACAATGAAAACAGTGCTGATGGAACCACAGATACATCTGCAGGACGTTGTCCAAAATAAACGTTTTGTACACCTGTAACACAAAATCATTCTGTGTGCTACAGAGGTCACAAACCTTAGGATAAAAACACGGTATTACATTTGCTCACCTCTATATATTCAGAATTTTTTTTTTAGTGGGAAAAAACCACACTTTATTATTCCCAGCACGGGACAGGTCTTCCAGGGGTGGCAGGAAGCGGCTGTGGGACAGGGCTGTAGAAACGGGGGTGGTCCTACTTGCCAGTGATGAGGGGGTTCCTGAGGACCACAATGACCGAGTCCCCACGCAGGAACATCTTAGAGATATAGCGGTCCTTGTTGATGGGTTTGGACTTCTTCTTGCCCTTGCCACTCTTGGGGACCTCGGTCCACATCTCCTTCACGTTCTCCAACACCATGTTGCAGTGCGTGTCGAAGGCCTTCACGCGGCCCAGGAGCTTCTTGTTGTTACGACATTTGATGAGCACTTGCGCGTTGTTCTTGACCGACTGCGTGAGCACGGAGAGTGGGCCCGTGTTAAACTCCTCCTCCTCTCGCTTTTGCAGCTCGTCAGGGGTTATCTCACTCTTGGGCTTGTTGAGGAGGCTCATGGTGCTGGCTGCGGTCTCGAATTGCTCCCGTTCCCTCCGTGTTGCTTCTTCCTCTCCGGAATTTTTTTTTTTAACACACATTAACCTATCTAAATCTCCAAGAGGTAGATTGCATGTTTCCTTTGTATTTTACAGATTTCTGAGCTGAGGCAATAAAGAAAGGGCAAGCTGCTCACAGTTATTAAGGTAGATAATGAAAATAGCTTCGGGGTTTTTGTGTTGGGTTTTGCTGTTGTTGTTAGTATGTTAGTAGGTTGTTAGTATGAGTTTTACAAAGTCTTCCACGTGGACTATGCAAAAGTTATCCTGTTTTCTTTTTATACAGCTCTGGAGGAGAAATATCATTTACCCTCAGTTTATTAATGAGGACCCACGACTTTGGTCAAGTTGGTTCGAACTCACAGACTTTCAGAGACTGAATCTTTATGGAAGGAGTCTGCTCGTGAACCTTTGACCTTTTGCTTAGCAACCTGATAGTTATGCTCTAAGCCACCAAGACTCCCTTTGAGGAAGACAGTGATGCTCAAAATCTTCAAATCTTTTGCCAAGATTCACACAGCTGCAGCCCATCATTTATTTAGACTAGACAGGAACGGGCTCAGTTACGTACAAGTAGTGTTCGTATTAACTTCATCTACTTATTAGAAACATGGGGTAAGAGAGGGTGAGTGGCTTTGTCCATGACCACACCGCTGGCTAAGCAGAAATCCGCAGGCAAGAAAAAGATCTGAGACTCAAACGCAATTCTTTGGGTCAGTGCAGACCCCCTTTTCTCACACCCTAGTGCCCACTGCTGGCAGCCTCAACAGTGACCCATTGGGTTACACCCTCCTTGCCACGCCTTTCCCTGGAGATCCAATTCCAAGGGAGGTGGCGGGCGAGAGCAGGTCGCGGGAGCGGTCGGGCAGCCTGCGGAAGAGGCGCCGCGGGGCGCGTTCCCGCAGCAGAGTAGAGTGGGTGGGACCGGGGGGGCGGGTTCTGGCACCTCCTCCCTTCCCTCAAGGGGTTCCCTCCCCTGTCCCCCGCCGGCCGACTGCCGACTGCTGGGCGGGCACTACCCGAGCTGCACGACCTCAGGCTGGCAGAAGCAGCCCAGTGTGCGAAGCTCGGGCGCCAGCAACACTGGGGAACTTCTGCAGAGCGGAGCAAATCCGGATCCGAACCGGCGCGACTCCTGGGTTCCCAGCACCGCTGAAAGCCACGGGTTCCCTAACGCGGCAGCTCCCTAAACCTCAGCGCCCGGCGCCGAGTCCCGCGGCGAGATGTCCGCGCGCGTGGGCCTCCTGCTGCGTGCCCTGCAGCTGCTTTTGTGGGGCGTCCTGGAAGCCGAGCCTGGAGGCGACGAGCTTCGCAGAGAGGCACAGGTACCGGGTGGCGGGGTGGAGAGGGGTCTCCATGCTTGAGACTCTCCAGAACGTTGCAGTCAGGCCACCCAACTGCCCCATCCGAGCTGACCGTCTGCATTATCCTCTTCCCTTAACGCTGGCACACAAAGAGCCTGGGGACAGCATTCTTGCTTGAGACCGAGGCTGGGGTCACACACGCTCCGGGATTTACGCTGATTGTCTAGGGGGTGTGTGTGTGTGTGTGTGTGTGTGTGTGTGTAAGGGGCAGCGACAAGATGAGACTGACAGGCGAGCGTTGGAAGAACCTTTGCCACCCCCCCTCCAGCAGTCTGGCATGGAGCCACTACTTCTCGCCTCGCCCCCTAAGCTGGAGACACTTGTGGATCTGTCCTATGTCCCCGAGACTCCCAGGACCATAAGGCCCCGAGATCGGTGTCGTGGAGAGGGTATCACTGAGTATCGTCAGGCAGGCTGGACAGAAATGCTGCTGGGTTTTGGGACTAAGTTTCTAGCCAGTTTGAACAAGTCGTTTGAACTACTTAGAACCAGTTTCTTCATCTGTAAACTGTGTACGAGTTTTCCTCTCCTTTAAACAGTGTTTCAGAATGGAGTTTAAGAAGGCAGAGAGGTGGGAATGAACCTCAAAAGCCTTCCAATTTCATTTTCCTCATTGGATCCAACTGCTTCCTGTAAATTGCTCAAAGGGAACTTTTTAGTGAAGTAGCAGTGAGGGGTGCAGTTAAGTGCTGGGCTGCTGGGTGGGCAGGGAGAAAAGTGCGGTAGTAAATGAATGGAAATCCAAAACCTCTGTAAATGTCTATTAAAATTAATAAAAATTTAAAAAAAAATCCACCCGAAGCTCCGGGGAAGAAAGGTCTGGTGATCTGCTTTTTTACAAATCACCTCCTAGTGGGCCCAGGTCTTTCGTGTTTGTTTTTTATTTCTTCTTCTCTTTCTCTTCCTCCTTCCTCTCTCCCTCCTCCCCTTCCTTTGATAATACAACAACATCATAATTTCTTTTTCTCCCCTAAAGAAACTTCTCAAGTTGTCTTCCTCTTTTCAATTATGGTGATTTTGATGGCTGTCAAGTCAGAACCAACTCATAGTTGACCCTCTAATGGGTTTTCAGAGGCTATAAATCACCCTCGGAGCAGCTGGTGAATTCGATACCCCTGCCTTTGTATTGGCAGGACCGCTCATTACCCATTAGGCTATCAGAGCTTTGCACTGGGATCTGCACCATTTTATGGAGAGGGCATGTTAACAAATTATGAGTTATTGACAAGGCTCTGCCCTAAGACTCTTGCTCCCAAAGAGCTTCATTTCTGTCCCAAAACTGCCCATCAAGCTCCTTTCAGTATATCCTCCCTCCTACTTCCATCCCCTAGGTCATCAGAAGTGTCATGCTAAATTTGGAAGACCCGCAGAATGAGGAGCGCCCTCTCTGAATCCCCTTTCCATTCACCGCACAGCTCCCATCACCACTAGGGAATATTGTGAATGACCCTGATCCAACAAGAGGATCCTTTATCAACCCTCCTCCACTCTCTCCCCTTCTGAGCGCTGGTCACTTGCTCTGTGCTCTCAGTTTCTGCACTTAGTTTCTCTCTGGATTTAAAAACTTACAACATCTAGTTCAGAGGTCCCACAGCCCCAGGAGAAGACTCTGGCTACCATGCCAAGTTGTGTTAAGAGTCCCACCCCACCTCCCCCCAAGTCCGGGTCCCAGGCAATCCTTGGCAGAAGAACAGAGACAATATCTCTGCCATCCATGCCTGTGGTAGCCACAGATGGAGAGAATTTGGGGTGTGCTTTGAGAAACTTAATATCTAGCAGATTTGAGTCTCTTTCAGTCTATTTAGCATAATTGGGGCAAGGGACCTTTTAAATCTGAGAACAAGAAATATTTTTAAAGCATAAAAACAGTCAGGAAATATGTAAGGGATGAGTATCTTTGTATGCTTGTGTTTGCATGTGTGTGTGTGTATATAAAATCAATATGTGCTTATGTGTATATCTTTCTGTGTGTGTTTCTGCACATGATTCATTGTATGGACTTTGATGTCAGACATTTGTGTCATCAAATCACAGGCAAATACTTAATCACTAAGATCTCAGTTTTGGTGTTTGAAGCTGTAAAATGGTGAATAATAATGTCTATCTCACAAGGTTGAATAACTGCAAGTTAAGAGGCTTCAACAAGATAATATGTGTAAAATGTTCAGCACAGTGTCTGTATGTAGAAAGAAAACTCAAACACAAACTCATTGCCATTCAGTGGGAACCAACTCATAGCTGATGCTCCAGTGGGATTTTGGAGGCTGTAAATTGCATAGGAGATTTCTTCTTTCTTTTTTTTTTCTACAGAGATGCGGGTAGATTCAAATAGCAACTTTTAGATTAGAAAGACAACTCCCTACAACTATGCCACCAGAGCTCCCTCACAGAATGAAAGTAGCCTATAAAAGCAACTGCTGTCAACGTTGTTGTTGTTGACAACAAAAATAATACAGGACAAACTATGTAAAGCAAATGCTTTCCACACTGGATGATAAACACCACAGGAAGGCAGTTCTTGAGAGAAGGTGTTGGAGTTACTATGTATTACAAAGAACTAAAAAACTTAGGGAAGCTAAACAACCTTTTATTATATTCAGAAATTCTGTGGGACAGAATTTTGAGTAAGGCACAATTGTTGTTGTTACTGAACTTATGGACAAAAGATCTGAACCCTGTCCTATAACCATCATCATTTCTCTAATGACCATAGAGTTTCCAAAGGCATCTTGTTTAGGAAGTGGATGCCAATCCTGATTCCAAGCCTGTCTTAATCTGGGAGCTCTATAAAACACTGTCCACCATGGGTAACCATTATGACATTTGACACAGCAGTGGCACAGCATTCAGTATCACAACAGCTCCAAGTTATCTGAGTATAACAAACTGACAGACCAGTGCTATACTACTTAGAAGAATGTTCTTCCCAGACACAATAAACACCAGGCCCCAGGGCCACAGGCCTGTGGGCCCAACCAACTTTTAAATACAAAGGTCCATCCACAAGTCCCAGAGTTACTTTAACACAAGGCTTTCAGTCCATAGCTGATTGTTAGCTAAATCCAGTAAAATATAGGCAACCAATAAGCTCACACATGATTGTGAAGGAAATTAAAAAACAAAAACAAACAAACCAAACAATGACCAGTTTACAACTGACTTTCCAATAAAACAAGAGAAACTACCCTCCAGAATCCAACTGCTTTACACATGAGCCTCCAAACTAGAGACTTAGTCAGGGCCCAATCTTCTTTTAAATATAAAGGCTTACCCAAAAGGTCCTGACTGACTTAAACAAGAGGCTTCCAGGGCACAGTAGGGCAGCTTATTTCTGCTCTATAATGTCTGTGGCTGGAATCATCAGCATTCTGTCCACCGTATTTTCTGGCAGTCAGTACTGGCTTGCTGTTGGGAGCCTCAGTTCTTACCTATGTGGACCTTCCCACTTGGCTGTTCCTTGTGAACTAGTTTGTGCTTCTTCACATCATGAAGAATGAGTATTCCTCCAGGAAGAAACTGTATCTTTCTGTGTAACTTAGATTCAGAAGTCATACGGCATCACTTCCACTGTATTTTGTATGTTGGGAGTCACTAGCCCCATCCAAAATCAAGCGCAGAGAACATATATGCTCTATCATTTGATGGGAAGAGTATTTAATGTTATAAGAGCATGTGGAATGAAAGATATCATTTAAGGAGATACAATCTGTCACCGAAGAGAAACTCCCAAAGTAAGTCCACAGTCACTCCGAGTTATGCTCAGGGGCATTACCTTGAGAGCAGTGCAGGGCATCACACCTCAAGTTAAGCACAGTTGTCCTGCTGAACTGAAGTATCCGAGGTCAGAGCTGCTGAAGCAGCTAGAATCTGCGGACAAGGAAGACTGGGATTCACTGCCATCACAGAGAACAGAGAAGAACTGCCCCACAGTGCTTCCAAAGCTGCTTATATCTATTGGAGCAGCTGGTGGGTTTGAATCTATGACCTTTAGATTAGCAGCCAAATGCTTTACCCACTATTATGATTGCTCCTCAAAGGAGCAAAAGAAGAATCAAAAACAAAGAGAAATGGAAAGTCAGTAACAAGGCATTGCACTTAAACCAAAGCATATGATAGTATTAAATGCAAATGGAATATTCTAATTAAAAAGCAGAGATTGGCGGTCTAGATTAAAACACACACACACACACACACACACACAAATGCGTGGTGTGTATACGAGGTACCATGACAAGTAAGAGCATAAAATGTTGACGGTAAAAGAGAAAAAACTGTATCACATGAAAAATAATTATAAGAAAACTAGTGAAGCTCTATTAATCACAAACAAAATAGGCAAAAAAGACAAAGTTGTTTTTACAGATAAAAAGGGATTGTTGTTGTTGTTGTTATGTGCCATCAAGTCGCTTGTGACTCATAGCGACCCTATGTACAACAGCCCTAAATTCTGCTCTGTCCTGTGCCAATCGCACTGTCTCTGACACTCCCATCCCGATTAACTCAGTCACTGAATCAGTTCACCTCATAGAGGGCCTTCCCCTCCTGCGCTGTCCCTCCACCCTCCCAAGCATGATGTCCTTCTCCAAGGACCGGTCTCTCCTTACAACATGTCCAAAGTATGTCAGCGAAGCCTCAGAATCCTTGTCTCCAAGGAACAGCCTGGTTTTCTCCAGGATGAATATGTTTGTTTTCCTAGCAGTCCATGGTACCCTCAATACTCTTCTCCAGGGCCACAGCTCAAAGGCATCAATTCTCCTTCTATCCTACCTAGTCATTGTCCAACTCTGTGATGCATAACAAGTGATTATAATAATCGGAAAGGAAAGTTACTCAGAAAGATGCAACAAACCAAAATCTTGGAGGAAAGGCAACCAGGGCGCCTTTTAGAGGAAAGGGTGGTGAGACTTCTCACATATTTTTGGGCATGTTATCAGGAGGGACTAATCTTTGGAAAAAGAAAT